TCTCTGTAATTCTATTAGTTTAATCTGTTAAAGTACCTTTCTCAAGGACAAAGACAAAGGCTTTCTCTCCTTTTGAGGTCTTCCTAACCTAGAACTGGGCACAGCGTTTTAATACTCATCCAAATGAAATGGGTTTTTAAACATTCTTTGATAAACTTCTCAACTCTCAAAGAAGTTTCACTCATTTAATGCATCCCACCACCCTCTGAAGTAAGGATTTGCCCCTTTGATGAAGGGAAATAAAGATTTGGAAAGTTTAAGCGCAGAGTAAGTGCTCTAACCTCCGTTGGTAGTTTGCTGCTCCCTGTGTTACTAAAAGTCTTAAAAATATTTACAGCTGAATAGCAGATTTTCTGAAATCATTGTGTTATATTTACCCTGGTAATACTTTCATAGGAACCCTGGTGGCACAGTAGATAAGCACTCAGCTACTAACCAGAAGTTTGGCAGTTTGAACCTACCAGCTGCTCTGCAGGAGAAAGATGTGGCAGTCTGCTTTGGTAAAGATTACAGCCTAGGAAACCCTATGGGGCAGTTCTACTCTGTCCTATAGGGTCACCATGAGTCGGAATTGACTCGACGGCAACGGGTTTGGTTTGGTTTAGTTTGGTTAATACTTAACGTAGCTAAAGTAGATTTCTGTAGGGCAACCAAGGTAAAACAGGACCATTTAACACCAGGTGCCTTTGAACAAAACCCATTATAAGTGTATTTACATATTTCAGATTTCATGGGTATATTCAGAAATATTAATGTAGCATAATTGAAGTCTAATATTGCACCCTCAAGCCCAGAGTGGAAAATAAATGACTCTTTCTCCCCTCTGCCCTTCTACACCTGTCAAAGTTAATTTTTAACCACCAGCACATTGCAAAACATTCATCCTGAAGAGCCTGATTCATAAATCTTGTTTTAAATGCTCTGGGCTTGATTTTCAACCAAGACTAAAACAAGCACTAAGGTAGAGGGGAATGACTTTCAAAGAGTTTTACTTTTCTCTGATTTATTTTTTATTGGGTTTAAATGTGGTATGACTTAGAAGGTTGTTTCAAAGGTGAGAAATGAAACCTGGGGGAAAAAAATGCATGTATTTAGATGGTTAGGAGTGAATAGAATCAAGCATGCTAGGTTGTATCGGAAAAGAGGGAGTTTTGTTTGTGCTCTGAGAAAGAGACGTAGTTTGATGTGCATGTGTTGGAGGTGTGCAGCTCCATTTTACTTTTGTTTTCACGGTGTAGTCTTGTTCTCAGGGATAGAATCTGAGGGGAAGCTCGCAGGGGAGGAGTACTGTATTCTTCTACAAGCAATGGGCACACCTTTTCAGATACCTTGTAGAATGTGTCAGATACGGTGCATAGGTAAACCTGGGTTTATTTATAAACTCAGCTGGATGTTTTCCTTAGCATAGGACCTGTAGTTTATCATCAAAGTACTGGAGGTGGACTAATGAATTTGCATCATCCTGAAAGACTTTTCTGTCCTAAATTGTCTTAAGTTAAAATTAAGAAGGGAGGCCTTCATTTTACCCCTAAACAAAGATTTTGATTCATGTTTTTATCCTCACTGCCTCTTTTTTTTTTTTTTTAAAGTGATCTTTTGTTCATAAGTGATGGCCAGTAGAAATATTTAAAAAGTTGTACAGGAGATGCTTGCAGATCTTATGGTGAGAGCCTTCTCCCTATTGCAGTAATCCCTTCCCCAGCCCCCCGCAAGAATCGTTTCGAATAAAATCTCCTTACTAAAAACAAAACACAACAAACAAAAAACAGAAGTTGTGCAGTTGTGCGGGATGATGAAAGCTGTGGGACCTTCTCTGCTTAGTGGTGATTTGCATGTTTGAGACACACTGTTCAGTCTAACTTTCAAACATATCTTAAGGATCAAGAGACATTTTTCTGACTAGATTATGCCTGCTAAGAAGTGAAGTAATGGCCTATTTTTGCCTCTGAAATGAGTTTTACAAAACTTGGGAGAAAGGGAAAGTAATACATATTGTCTTCAAGAATCCAGAAGGTAAACTTGGCTTTCAATTAATGTGTGTCAGTTCTTCTATGTGGTTGAGTCTTTGAGGTCCCAGACAAAGGCTGAATTAAAATACAGGTTTTCCTAAAAAAGCTTCGCAGCTTCATGAAAAAAATACTTCCTAAGTTGTTATGACATCTGTGCATTTGAATTATGAGTTGTTTGTTAGTGAATCATAATAGAATAAGTGACAGTTGAACCGAACCAAAATCAAACTCGTTGCCGTCAAGTTGATTCTGACTCATAGCAACAGTTGAACAATTGCGTTTATTTTGTGTGACATTTTGGACATGGTGTGATACGAATGAAACACGCAGCAAGTTGATCATTTTCTCCCAGGCAGAAGTTACTGATTCTGTTTTACCAGCAGAGGGCTCCCTATTTTAAGCTAATAAAGAGTGTGTGCCTTGCAGATCACTTTTCAAAGACTAAAGTTCAATGGGAAAATGTTCAGCTAACACTCTCAGTAATATAATAGAACCTCCATGGTAGATGATTGTACATATCATGAGAAATTTATTTGAAGCAAAGCGTTTTCAAATCTATTTTAAGATTTTCTTTCTGTAAGTAGAGGGTGTACTGCTTTCCGGTGGATAATATTCTTCTGAAACAGAAAATAGATTGCTGGATCTAGAGAGCATTTTAATCTTAGAAGGTTTTAATGTGAAAAATCATGTGGATCTAGACAGGTATGGCTAAAAGACTGATGTTTCCCATGTTTCTGGCTTTAGAAAGGCTATTTTTAAAAGTAGGGCAAGATTATGAAGCTCAGGATGCAATGGTATTCTCTCAACCAACATACGTCACTGTGATCAGCAGGTGGGAGCTGGAAGATTCACTTATAGACTGTGTTTTTTCATTGGGGAAGTAGGCTTTTCTATATTGTCAGTTGCACCGAAGGAAAGTTTGTAAAAGCACTCTGATCGTGGATTTAGCAGTACTTCCCGGATACTGAGAATAATCAGTCCTGAAGCTGGGTTGTTCCTGTTTGCCTGTGTGGACTTTATGGCAGTACCTAGATAAGGATCACATTCCTATATAGAGATTTGGGATATTATTGGCAGAACCCATGTTTCTTCAAAGAGAATGAAAAAGATAGCCTTTAAAATTTTTTCTTTTTTTTAAGTAAGCCAACAATAGAAATCAGAAAAACTTGGAGTTTTGTTGTAGGTATGAAATTTTTTGCATGTGGCTTTAAAGAAATGAACTTCAGTTTCACATGTTCATTTTTACTTTCTCTGGCAGACGGAAGTTAAGGGCAGGGACAGAGGCAGAGGGAAAGGAGCTTAGGACCAAACTGGAGAAGTCCAAGTTCTGGTGCTAGAGCCATAATCTTGTGAGAATGGCTTCACCCCTCTGGGTCAAAATTTTTTTTGAAGTTAGCTTAAGGGAATTGATTGACTGGATCTTTAAATCACTTTCTAGTCTTAAAGTTCAGTGATTCTGTAATTTTCCAATGGGTTATGGTCCTCAAGATAGTATTAAAGTCATCTATGCTGATGCAAGTGGAAATGTTCTTAGGTAAAATTTTATTCTTTAAATAGTAGCCAGTAGTTTCTAAGTCCAGTTCTTTGCAACTGTCTCAAGTAAAGGACAAAATATAAAAACGTATGCACGTTACTTTGCCGTCCTATCCTTTGCCCCATGTAGCTATCACATAGGTCTAATGCAGACACAACTTTTAATTATTAAAAAAGCAAAACTTTTAATTATTAAAAAAGCGGATGGGCATTATGGGTATTTACATATGTGTTGAAATCAACCTCAAAAATAGCTGCAGAGTTTTTTTTTTTTTTCAATTTGTTTTTTCTTTTTTTAATCTTAACATGATCATGGAATATCGTATCCATGCTGAGTTTATAATCTTCCTGAGGCTCCTCCTCCTCCTATTATTTTTTAAATCTGTCCCCTGCCTGAATTGCTCCATAAGGGCTTTCCTGTTACACCTGCGGGGCTGTCTGTAAAGTGTGTGGGAGGAGGTGCAGGAGGTGGACACTAGCAAGGCAGTCTGTTCTGGGCTGTTCTGAGAGGTTCAGGCCTTTACAAGGAAAGCTTTGATTCTATTTTTGCTGAACTAGCTCAGCCACTTCCTGTGTTTGGCTGCGCATAGTGCCTCGCTTCACTGCCGGCTACTTGAGCCCTGCGAGCACCGCGGCAGCCAGTCACAGAGACTATTTTAGGTTCCCTCACAATGGCCTTCTGATTTCCTTGGCTAAAATGAGTGAGTTGGTCTTGCATTGGCCACTTGTTAGCAGATGACAACTTTGACTTTGGCTCCCCTCCCCCACCTGAAATCCCTAGCTCAGCAAATATTTGAACCTGCCCAAGTTAATCATGAAGCTGCGATCTTTATCTGAGAGAGACGTGCGAGCGGCTGGGCCTTTTTCCTCCCCAGTACAGTACCGAACTCGAGTGCGTTTCCCAGTGGGGAGCCAGCAGTGAGCGGAGACCCGGGACGCGGTGGCCGCTGCTGGTCGGGGGCTGCACGGGGGGCCAGTGGCCGGAGGAGCCAAGTCCTGATTGAAAGCTGGAGGATCCGCTGCCGGCGTGGTCCCCGCCCCTGCGCGCACTCGCTGGAGTCCGTGAGCGAGCGGCCCACAAGCAGTCGGGGGGAGACGTGGGGGCTTTTTCCAGTTGGTGGAAGAATAGCTTTTTGGATTTTTTTTTCCATTGTCGGATACAGGCATTGCAAAGGGAAACCGTTGAAATGCATAACCTGCAGAGTAAGTTACCTTTCATTTGTGCACTTCTCAGCCCTTCACTGTATCTTTTTATACTTCTGTTAAAGGTTTATTTCTGTAGCTTAAGTTTTGGCGTGTGTGTGTGTGTCTGTGTGTGTGTGTGTGTGTGTGTGCGTGTGTGTGTGTGTGTGCGCGTGTGTGTGCGTGCGCGCGCGCATGTGTCCGCCAGTGCTGCCTGGAGAAGGGAGATGAGGGATTAGGGGAGACACTCCCCCATTTTCTCCGGGGGAGGGGGGTGGGCAGTGCCAGGGAAAGATGGGGTTTAGGTTGGAAATTAGGGACAGAGGTGATTACAAAGTGCTTGGCTGGAAGTTGGTTCCAGGCCAGGCCTTGGAGAGTCCATGGAAAATCACCTGTCTCACTGCCTCCTCCTGGGTCCGTTTTCCACATGGGTTCCAATAGCCGGATCATTTGCACAGGAGGCTGTCTGGCTGGCTAACTGGTAGACCAGGGAGCAGCTGCAAAAGGACCTGTCTCCCTGTCCTTTTTGGAGAGGGTCAACATTTTTATGAAGCTAAGAAAGATGTTTTTTTTTCCACCCTGCATCTTATCCAAGGGCATACCTCCCCACTTACCACCTTAACCATTTTTATTTGCATTTGAGTTTAGGTTTACGTAAACCCTTAGGTAAATAGAAAAGTGTGTGAGTGGGAGAGAGTGGGAGGGGATAGGGAGAGCTTGTCTTCCCTATTAATGGAAAGAGAAACTAAATTAGAGAGGGGGTACAAGTAAACAGTGCTCAGAGATCTCCTTGCCTTTGGTCTAATTTTTATATACTTTATGATCCAAATTTGATAGAAAGTCTAGGAGAATAAATTTCAAGGGCTCTGTTCTTTAAATTGTCACACAGATGTGTGATATACACCTGCATAGATCACAAAGCCACTATAGTTATTAAAATAAGCCACACTTACATTGTGTGTGGGGGGGGGTCTTTCTCTCCCTTCTTCCTTCCACCCTATCATAATATTGTGACTGCAAAGAGAGGCGGCTTCAAAGTGGGAATGTATATTAAGCTTCAGTAAGAGTGGCAGCATTATATGCAGAATGATTTTAAAGAACTAAAATTAATAGATTTGTAGAGGAATTGATTTCTTTATATTAAATACTACTAAGAAGGAATAATACTTTTCTCCAGAGTGAGGCATAGGAGATCAAGGGAAAAAAAACAAGGATTACATCACCCCCTCCTAAGCACAGTAAGCCAAAGACAGGTTCATCAAGGAAAAATAATTTCCAAAGATAACTATGCCTCCACTCTTGCAGTCTGATACATGGCCTCTTTTCTTTTCGAAGGAGCGTCTTACCTTGCTCAGTTTTGTATGACAGTAGCATTTAAATTCTCATGACTAAAGTTGACAATTATGTTTCTTATTTCTGCTAATAATATGCATCTTCATTCCTGTTGAGAGTTTTCATTGTTGCTGCATGAAGTCTAGTTTTAATTTGCAACGTTTGGTAGAGGAGGAGATTTTGTCTTTGCCTTTTTTTTTCTTTTCGTAATTGTGCTTTCTAATGTGTACATCGTGACAGTGTTTAAATTCTGAGTTTTCAGTGAATTATGTAGGACTGAAACTAAATATCCCGAGTTCTTGATCTGTGCTGCTAATAACATATACAGGAGGCATTTAAGAACTGTAAAATAGACCTTAAGTATACCGTTCCGATGCCTTTGTAAGATTTTTAAACCAAGGGAACGACCAGACTATCTATAAAGCCAGATGCACTAGGAAAAAAAAAAAAAAAGCTACGTGCTGTAGCATATCAGCTTTTGTCAACCTGCCAACAGTGGAGCATACCATGCTGCAAGGAGTCATAAAAAAGGAATTAGAAAACTCACTGCTGGAAGAGAACAGTCAAATTAAACACCTTTTGAAACGATGAGCAGGTATACGTTGCAGTTCTGTTAAATGTCCGTCTTAGTGAGGTTGGGATTGTGTTAAGGCTGGTATAGAAGGGAAATGATGAAGCAGGAGTGGTCTGGTGACATTTTTCTGACTTGATTGGCTGGGATGTGTGATGTAATAGGTTACAGTGCAGCCCCTTATAGGTTTTAAAATGAATTCCAAGACACCATTACAAAGAAAGCTGGACTCTTTTCTTATAACTGAGCTCAGCCAAGGAAACTCTCGCACAAATGTACAACACTGTTTGGAATATGGAAGACCTGGATATAGAATATGCTAAGACAGATATAAATTGTGGCACAGACTTGATGTTTTATATAGAAATGGATCCACCAGGTAATACTGCAGTATTATTGTAGAGAGCTAGTTAATTTTGTGGGTTTTTAAAAAATTTTGACAGCTACTGTAACATATCCTCTGTAGATTTCTGCTTTTATTAATTCGTTCTTGGATGACAATTAGTTGGATCAGAGCTTGAAAATTAAGCAAATTGTTTGGCCGCCTGTGGAAGCAAGCAGAGCAGGCTGTGTGTGGTAAATGCTTGTTCTTACTTGAATGGATATGAATTGAATTCCAGTTTGTCGCTGGTCTTTTGTTAATTGTGGTCCTTTGCGATTTGGGTGATATTGTTGGATATCCTTCCTATAATTAAAATGATGCACCCTTTGTGCCGCTTTTCTCTGTTGACAGTGGATGAGAACTGTGTGGCACTTTGCAGTGATAACACTTGGTGCTTTAGAAAGCATGTAAAATGTAGCAGTGATTGCAACTCAGTTCTTGATGACCTGAAACTATTCTTATTCTAAATCAAATGTTGAGGCTTTGCTCGTTCTTTCTTATATTAACATACTGTAATGAAAAAAGAAGTTTTCTAGTGTTTAATCCTTAATCTATGTAAAATACTCTTGAGACACCTGAAATCATTTTGCATAAATTAAAGTAGTAACACAGTGTTTTAAAACTTAGAATTTAGCTGAAAGTCCTGGATTTATTTTGTTTTCTAAATTGTTTTATTCCAGTGTTAGCCCTCCCCTCAATTAAGAAAATAAAAAAAAAAAACACTGCAGTCTCTTTATTTGTCACCAGTTGGTATATGTATATTGATTTGACATTGAGGAAGGGGGTTATGGTTTTTAATCACTCTTGGCATATAGAGCACAATTTAGCCAACAGAATATTAGCATTAATACTAAGGAGATTTAGGTCACAGATGGGTTTCTTAAAGTGGCTTTTGGCAGAACACTGCCCGAAATACTAAGATTAGAGAAACCCAATTCCTCCTCTTAAAACATATTGCTGTAGATGAGCTTTTTTATTACTACAGCAGTGTTTGTGGAGGACAGAAACAGAATTTGTCTTTTATAATTAAATAAGAAGAGGAAATTAAAGCCAACCCATGTGATTCCTCCTGCTCGTATGTTCATGGTTTCTTACTTTAGATAAATTTGACCAGGCACAAAACTTACAAGCATCTAGAAGTAGAAAATGTCTTGACTCTGGATTTACTTTAAAATTCATTTACATGGCCAACCCAATGTATTTGTTAATCTCTGAGTTTCTCCCTCTCCCTCACACTGGCTCTATCTTTGTCTCTTTCTCTTTCAATTTCTTTTCTCTCTTTTTTTTTTTTTTAAGCCATACTCTGAAAAATTTGTTTTTTTTAAAGAAAAACATCTTCAGTGTGTCAAGGAATTGTGAATTAGTTCCATATTTCACAATTATTCTCATTCTTTCCTTTATATAGAAAGTTATTCATCTGAAGAATTTCGGTATAATTTAAAATGTTCAATGGTACTTGGGATTGCGAACAATTTTTCTTTCTCCTTAATCTGCAGCACTGCCTCCTAAACCACCAAAACCTACTACTGTAGTCAACAACGGTATGAATAACAATATGTCCTTACAAGATGCTGAATGGTACTGGGGAGATATCTCGAGGTAAGGTGACAGAAACTGGTAGTTTGTACTAGATACAGTTTTAGATTGAGAGGAGAAGGAAAAAAAAAAACACCAGCTTGCTAAATTCCATTTTTAGGATATCATCCAACATAAGCATGAAGCATAGTTGGTTCTATTCCAAAGACGACCAGAAAAAGTCCCTGAGTGCTGGAGAACTGTGGGTGCTGGATGCCACAGGAAATTAAATACCCGGGAAGTTTCATTGTTGAACTCTAAGAATTAATGTTATTGTCTTACAATGCCATTTTTTTCCCTTAGGTTGTTTTTGGAGGGGTGTGAGGACCTGGGGGTAACTTTCTGGGGATGATTGTTTTTTGAGCTGATTCTGTTAGAGTGACTGGAGTGCGGTTAACAAATAAATAAAAACTCTGTACCACAGATATACCAGTTGTGAAAGTGGGTATATTTTCGTTTTTCTTGGGGGTAGGGGGAGGGTGTAACTCCCATGCACCTGTTTGTAATGAAACTGAAACTTCTAACCAAAGAAAAAATACATTATTTAGCTCTGAAAATGCGATTAATAAATCTAAGTCCAGAGTCATTAAATCCCAGAGGTGAACATTGTCTTTTCTTTTCACTTTAGGGAAGAAGTGAATGAAAAACTTCGAGATACAGCTGATGGGACATTTTTGGTACGAGATGCCTCTACTAAAATGCATGGAGATTATACTCTTACACTAAGGTAAGTGAGGGGATGTAACTGAAATTTGGTATTTGGGTTGACATTAAGACATATTCTTCATCAGGAAATTGAGATGCTATTATTTCTGTTTTGTATTTACAGGAAAGGAGGAAATAACAAATTAATCAAAATATTTCACCGAGATGGGAAATATGGCTTCTCTGACCCATTAACTTTCAACTCTGTGGTTGAACTAATAAACCACTACCGGAATGAGTCTCTCGCTCAGTATAATCCCAAGCTGGATGTGAAGTTGCTTTATCCAGTCTCCAAATACCAACAGGTAATCAAGACTGAACTATTCAAGTTATTGTGATGTTTAAACAAGATACTTTCAATACTTAAAGCAGATGACTTATATGTAATCAAGTTTGAAAAGCTTTTGCACTTGTGATTACAAACTTACAATTTTATCATTGCTAAATAAAGTACCTTAAATATTTTTCCATGTTCAATATTTTGTTAAATAATTGTTATTTGATTAAATGCCTTATAAACCAAATTTTTCTTTTTCCTTCAATCTCTAATCCTTCCAGGATCAAGTTGTCAAAGAAGATAATATTGAAGCTGTAGGGAAAAAATTACATGAATATAACACTCAGTTCCAAGAAAAAAGTCGGGAATATGATAGATTATATGAAGATTATACTCGTACTTCCCAGGTGAGATTTCTGTGAAAATCAGATTAAAAGTTTAGAATTCTTAGTTATTAGAGCCTAGCAAGTATTATATGCAGCTTCAAAACAAAACAAAAAAAAGATTAAAAATACTTGAGTTTTTGTGAATGAAATGAGAAAGAGATCAATTTGTGAATCATTATTGATTGTCTGGGCATAGTATCTCTAAACCTTTTAAATGAGGCCTATAAGTATCAGAGGAGCCGCCCTGGTGGCGCAGTGGCTTAAGAGCTTGGCTGCTAACCAAAAGGTCAGCAGTTTGAATCCACCAGCCACTCCTTGGAATCCCTGTGGGGCAGTTCTGCTCTGTCTTATAGGGTCATTGTAGGGTCATTATGAGTCGGAATTGACTTGACAGCACTGGGTTTATAAGTACCAGAGTGATAAATTAAGTTCACGTGATGAATGAAGAGGTTGCTGTGATTTCTGAAGTTGATTTGATATAATCCCTGATTGTAGAATGCTTTTGGGGTTGGAAGCTAATAATAACTGGAAGTTCCAAAGACCTGTATAATCTCTGAAATGGAGATTTAACCGTTTATGCACTCTGCCGTGAAAAGCAGAGGCTACACTTAACTCCACTGCATTTCTAGAGACTTAATTCTCTCTAGCCCATCATGTGTGTGGGGCCACCAGAGGGAGTAGATGACAACATGGATGCCATAAACTGCTGATAAAGTGCAACAGCTTTTTAAAAAGATGAAAACTGTAGGAAATTGTCAAGCAGTCATTTTCCTTAGATTGGGAAAATTCTCCAAAGGAAATGTGTGTTTCTGTGATATTAATTTAATGGATTTTATGAATTACTGTCCTACCTTTCTAACAGAGTACTTAAATGCTAGTAAATAACGCAAACCAAATGTCCTAGTAGCGTCTTTGCAGTAAGAAATTGTCTATTCTATGTAAGGTATGACATTGTCATATAAAATTGTGTTTCAGGAAATCCAAATGAAAAGAACAGCTATTGAAGCATTTAATGAAACCATAAAAATCTTTGAAGAACAGTGCCAAACCCAGGAGCGGTACAGCAAAGAATACATAGAAAAGTTTAAACGTGAAGGCAATGAGAAAGAAATACAAAGGTTGGTAAACCGTGGGAGTTTCTGTTGTCCTTGTGGTACAGAGAATCAAAGTCTTCTAAAACTGCTTAAAGATTATCTCGCTTTCTGTGACTGAAAACATTAAAATACAAAGGAAGAGAAAGCATTCGTTCCCGGAGGAAAACTCCTGGGAAGTCATAGTGAAACTTTTCATAAACTTTGGGGAACTTTCATGATGCACCAGGTAATTACGGACGAATTTCTCTTGCCTATAGGATTATGCATAATTATGAAAAGTTAAAGTCAAGAATCAGTGAAATTGTTGACAGTAGAAGAAGATTGGAGGAAGACTTGAAGAAGCAGGCAGCTGAGTATCGAGAGATTGACAAACGTATGAACAGCATTAAACCTGACCTCATCCAACTAAGAAAGACGAGAGACCAGTACTTGATGTAAGTATTTGAACTGGAATCCCACTGTAAGGGAATCATTGGTAAATGCTAAAATCGTGATTGAGTTACTAATGCATTTGCTTCCTAAAACTATTTTGTAGGTGGTTGACTCAAAAAGGTGTTCGGCAGAAGAAGTTGAATGAGTGGCTGGGCAATGAAAACACTGAAGAGTAAGTAGTTACTGAAGATGGGAGATAGCAAGAGAATTTTCTCATTTAAGAAAAACACAGGATTTGCTTTGTTTTCAGAGCAAGCAAGGAATTTTACTAAGTTTGGAACACTCATAGGAGAAAGAGTATAAACTTAGTCTCATTGTCCAGTATTTTTAAAAAGGAAAGGTTAAGCAAGACTAGGATTATTTTTACCCATAATAGTGTCAGATGACGCTCTTTGTCCATCATGATGTCCCTGAACATTTGAAAAATCCCAAAATATTTTTGGAACAGCCAGAAAAGAAAAAAAAAATTACGTTTGTATACTTTGAAGCTGAAGTATATGTTTTACTTGAATTCGTTGAAAACTGGCACGCATCTTAGTCATCAATTTCCTGATCTAAACTAGATAAACAAGGCTGTTAATACCTTCCTTCTGCCCAGGTACTTAAATGAAAACAGAAATAGGATAATTTATTGCTGACTCTTTGTCTGAGGAGTTTACATTGAAAGCTAAACACTATAAGTGGAAAACTCAAGTCAGAGATGCTGAGTCGCAGTCAGACATGTGACTGCTGGCCTGGCTTGCTGGGCAGGAGAGGGCCAGGATCTGGGTTCAAGTGACTAGAAGGCCGTTCTTCAGGGAGACAGTAGGGCAGGCTGGTGGTTTCCATGCTCTTCATTGAGAAGCCTTCTCTCCTACCTACTTAGCCAATACTCGCTGGTGGAAGATGATGAGGATTTACCGCACCATGATGAGAAGACCTGGAACGTGGGTAGCAGCAACCGGAACAAAGCTGAGAACCTATTGCGAGGGAAGCGGGATGGCACTTTCCTTGTCCGCGAGAGCAGTAAACAGGGCTGCTATGCTTGCTCCGTAGTGTATGTATCTCCTGCAGACTTTCCTTTTTTTTTTAAACATCTCTTGAGACCACTATTCATTCATTCAGCTGTGGGGAGTGAGGATTTGAAACTGGTCTAGTTTTTAAGAATCTTAAAACAGCACAATGCTAATGTAGTAGAGGAGATAAAACAGACATAATGTCATTCTAAAGTACTAGGCGGGACTATCTGTTAATAAGGTCTAGCAGAAACAAAACTGCTGTGTAGTTGGAAAACTGAGGTTTGGATCCCAATTTGGCTACTAGTTAATTGTAAGAAGTCTTTAAGTCCCCCCCCGCCCCTTCATTTTTGAAATGGGAATCACAATGCCTGCTTTTTTTTTTTTTGGTCTCCCAAGGCCACTCTGGTTAGAATCTGAGGTAATTTGGTTGAGAACACTACTCATAGGTAGTAAACAGATCAAAACACAAATGAAAGGACTCTGTGATCACCGTCCTTCAGATAAGATAGGCCTACCCAAGAAAAGATGCGTTTTTGTCATGTGTTATATTTTCTTTTTATTTCTTAATAGTTTGGGAAATACTTTGAGAAGTGAGTTATAAAGCACTAACAAAACCATTTGAGAGAAGTAAATGTCCCCTACTAGGGAAAGGTTCTAAAAGTGCCTTATACTATCTCCATGTAATCAGAGAAATATTCCTAGAGGAAAGAAGGAATAAGAAGAACTTTGAGTAAGGACAAGGGAGTAGGAGAGTACAGAGTAAATGCAGAGATGGAGAGTTGTGTAGACATTTTAAGGATAGCCTGAAAGAAGGAGTCCTATTGGTAATTGTAATTGTAGTAGTGACAGTACTGCTGTTTGGAGAGTAACAGCAATATACGTTTAGTGGTTGAAAGCTACCATTTGTTGCATGTTTACTGCATACCAGGCATTCTGTCATGCACATTACATACATGATCTCATTTCATTTCTCAAAGTATCCTTGTTGCTTGTAGCTTATGATTGTCCTCCTTTTAAACCATTTTAAAGAAGACATTGCAGCAGTTCAGTGATGTTGCGTTACCTACCAAGTCAATCAGTAAGGAAATGCTAGAGCCAGATGTCCACAACTCATCTAGGACTCTTTCCCCCAAGTTGAGAGGGCCTGGGTAGTGTACTTTTTCATGAGGACTTTATTAGAAATGCTTTGTGGAATTGTGAAGTGTCCTGGACAAGTTCAAAAGCTGTTTTGTTTTCTTCCTCTCCTCTAGGGTGGATGGCGAGGTAAAGCACTGTGTCATCAACAAGACGGCGACTGGGTATGGCTTTGCGGAGCCCTATAACTTGTACAGCTCCCTGAAAGAACTGGTGCTACATTACCAACACACGTCCCTCGTGCAGCACAACGACTCCCTCAATGTCACACTAGCCTACCCAGTATATGCACAGCAGAGGCGATGAAGCGCTGACACTCTAATCCTTCTCCTGAAGTTCAACCACCCTGAGGCCTCGGGAAAGCAAAGAGCTCCTCTCCAGCCTGACCTGTGAATTGAGCTGTGGAAACAAAGCCCGCTGTCTTCGGATAGGACTGGCGCTTTCTTTGACAACAAAGCAGCAGGGGAAGACACACAGCCGAGTGCTGAGTGACCATACGTTTCTAATCCGGAGTGGTTATCCTTCCTTCCTTTCTTTTTTTTTAATTTAAAGCCAGAACAACTCACAACACAAAGAGAAAAAGAAATACAAAAATCTCTGCATGCAGGGACAAAGAGGCCTTTAACCATGGTGCTTGTTAATGCTTTCTAAAGCTTTACCAGCTACAAGTTGGGACTTTGTAGACCGAAGGGTAGATAGGGCTCAGGAGCCCTGTGACCTGGGAAGGCTGGGTCCAGCCTGATTTAGCCTGGGTGTGTCGCTGTGTCCAGCAGCCCCAGGCACGTCGCACTGTGGATTATTTCATTTTCTAACAAATGAACGATATGTAGCAGAAAGGCACTTCTACTCACAGGGGACACTTTGGGAGAATGTCAGTTCATGTACATTCAGAGGAGATTCTGTCGTAGCAAAGTGCCAGAAAGTGTTTTGTTTAAACTTTTCAAAATGACAGACAAACAAAACCCACCAACAGAAAAATTGAACTTGGAAAACAGGACTTAAAAATGACATTCAGTATATAAAATATGTACATATTATTGGATGACTAACTATCAAATAGATGGATTTGTATTAATACCAAATAGCTTCTGTTTCGTTTTGCTGAAGGCTAAATTCACAGCGCTATGCAATTCTTAATTTTCATTAAGTTGTTATCTCAGTTTTAAATGTACCTTCAGAATAAGCTTCCCCCAACCCGATTTTTGTTGCTTGAAAATATTGTTGTCCCTGACTTTTGTTAATATTCATTTTGTTATTTTTTTTTTTTTTGAAGAAATGTACAGGATGCCAGTAAAAAATGGCTTCAGAATTAAAACTATGAAATATTTTACAGTTTTTCTTGTACAGAGTACTTGGCTGTTAGCCCAAGGTTAAAAAGTTCATAACAGATTTTTGGACTAAATGTTTTGTTGGGCAGTGCCTGATAAGCTTCAAAGCTGCTTTATTCAATAAAAAAAGAAAAAAAAGATATATGAATATGACAAAGTATCGCTGAGTCCAACGATGTTGTTTCAAGACTCTTAAAATACGGTACCTGGCAATGTTTATTTCATAAAGAATTGTGAACTTCTTGATTCTAGGCAGGGGGTATGTAACAAAAGGATGGGGCAAGTAGGGGCAGTGGGAAGGGTGGGGAGGTGGTTTGCACTTTCTCTTCCTTGTGATTACAGAAAAGAAGTGAATAACTGCAAAGTGAAGTCTTTTCCCACTTTATTAGTTATTATCAATTAATGGCAGTTAAAAACCTACTGTAACTCTCTTATCACAGTTCAGCCGGTCAGATATTTCAGCTCTTATGAAGGAAGTTCTTGAGTTTGTTTTGGGTTCCTAGAACAGTGCTCGCCTTTGTTTAGCGCACTGGTTTCAAGGTAGAACCTGTACAGTTAAAAAATGTTTTTCTCTTTTTAACATAGCTTGTCCACTACAGACAAAAAACATACCTTTTAGAAAAAGCATTATCTGAAAAAACTGTATTTTTATTTGGGTGTTTTGTTGTTTTTCTATCCATTCAAATTAGAACATAGAGCAAATAGATATGCTCATTATTGTCACTGTTCTGGGCCCAGCGGAGCTCGTTAAAAGTCTTGGCCATTTCAGGAATCCCAAGTAATTGTATGTGTTATGCTTCACTATGAGGAAAAGGAAGGAATTGTTAGAGTAATCTTTGCAATTTAGGGAGAGTAAGAAGTGTTTCTCCCTGATTCACTTATACAAAAATCGTTAATGTTCAGTAAGAATTGTACATGCATTGCAAGGAATAAGGGTTAATTATAATCATGGTCACTACCCTGATTGATTAAAGTAGAATCTTACAATTTCAGTTTTCCTTTCTCAGTATTAGACTGATTTCACCCACAGTTTTATTTCTCTTCCTTTCAAATACTGGGGTGAGGGTGTTTTGTTCTAATGCTGATCCTTTTAAAATTCTTTTTAAAGAATCAGTCTAGCAGCTGACTTAATCATCTGTAGAATGTATTTTTTTCCCTTTCCATGAAGCTACTCAAGAGCAGAATTCAATCTTACCACCAGACTGTCAGCCCTTAAACTTGACTGAACTGATCTATCTCCCTCTCATCTCCAGACAATATGATTTCCCTGATTTTAGTCTGTGTCTTTGGTTTAGAACTTCTGGTGGGAGTAGCCATCCACATCACACAGAAGTCTTCACAATTAGTAGTAGTTTATAAACTAGTCTTTTTGTTTGTTTTGGTAGCACATCCATGTATACTATTAAATACATAATTTTTATTTAATTTCTAAAATGTAAGATTTGAGTTCAGATGTTTCATCAGAAGCTGCAGTTTTGTTCATGTTTTTGCTTAAATGGTCTTTGCAAGATGACATGGTATTTAGGCATTTGCCTTATTTTTGCATCTCATAAGCATCCATGCAATAGATTTTCCATGGAACAGCAAGGCAGGATCCAGCGTTCCATATCACAGTGAGTTACACCATCTCTGCCGAATGCCTTTTTTGACTGCAGTGTAACATGCCTACCACATTTGTCCTTCTCGATATTTGACCATCCGGGCTCTTTGGGTTTAATCAGTCATCTTTTAACAACCCTGTCTGGGTGGCTCAAGAGTATCAGTGGATACAGCAGAGGCACTTCTGATAGTGATTTTACCCATGCATTCATTTTCCCAACCCACTGTAGTGTCCTAAAGATAAAAGAAGCTAAGCTGCAGAAAGGCTGTGATAGGGCTGTGGAAGGGGGATCCTTGGGACCTCCTATTCATTACGCACGACAGCAAGATCATAACCATGTGAAAAGGCAAAAAAGCATGTGTTTACGACATCTGACAACTTGATGGCCCTTGATATCTGTATATATGTATATGTGCATGGACTGTGTTTCCAGTACACCTTTCAACCAAAACAGATCCACAGTTGTTGAGTTCAAGTACATAACAAGCAAATGTCTAGTACAATTGTGTATATGTGTATGGGTTTTTTTTTTCTTCTGCTTTGAGGTTGCTTTGTTTTGTCTTATAAAGGTGAAAATTGTTTTCAAGTGAAGTGAGAAGTTCATAATTCTTTGGCTTTTTTCTGTTTTTAAAAGTTATTCCTTTTGGGGAGCTAGTCTGGATGACTCGCTTAATGGGAAAATCCTTGTCTTTGGTGTGTCGAGTCAAAATGTGTTTCTGTGAGCTGTCACTGTGGGGAACCAATTGCTTTGTCATATAGCTGGTTATGAACTAGTAACGTGTTTGGGAAGTCCTACTGATGTTCCTTACTGGGAGAAAAATTCTGCTGGTTTTAACAACTGTGCTTTTGCTATGCATGGTATCCAAGTCAGTTGGAAAGCAGACTCTGAGAGCCATTTGAGTTCAGGGTCGTCTAAGAAAGGGGCAGTTTAAAGCACAATGCCTCACATGGGACAGAGTTCCAAAATGCCAAATTCTTATTTTTTAAAAATCTAGTTATATAAAATACTAGTATTATGGGTGGGGTGGGAACAGAATTGGGTTAATTGGGAAGACTATTTAACCTGAAACTTGTCACCATGAGATAGCATTAGCTGCCCAGGATGCTGCTATTTCAAAAAAAAAAAAGCAAAACAAAACAAAAAAATCATTTATATGTGTGTATTTTTTAAAGCTACGATCCGTTCAATGTTTTTACAAATCTGTTTATATGACATTATTAAAGTTGGTGTTTTGACGAGAGGGAGGATGTCATGGTCAGTTGTAATTTTGCCTTTACAAGGCAACTGGGGTGGGGGGTGGAGGGAGTGTGCCTCCTTGACATTTTGTTCAGACTCTAGATTCAATGGAGCTATGTCTTGTTGTTTTAAGTTGCTTTAATGCATTGTATTAGGTCTTCAAACAGAATAAAGGTTGTTTTGAAACTTAAGTTTTGGTTGAACTTTCAATTATCACCTAGGAAATATTTCTAAAGCAGCTCTTTGGGTTAATAAATGTTACTGCTGTTTCTGTTAGCCCTCACCCATCCTCTTTCATTCTATAATCACATTATCTTGTTTTGGTAAAATGAGAAGGACTTTAAGAGTGGTCACACGAATGATAACTTTCAGTGTTGTTTACATAATTTCATCATATCCTTAATGTTCTTAGCTGCCAATTCATGGCCATCCTATGTACCAAGTGCTCAGACCATTGTGATCCATAGGGTTTTCATTGACTGATTTTTGGGAAATAGATTGCCAGACCTTCTTCCTAGTCCGTGTTAGCCTGGAAGCTCCACTGAAACCTATTCAGCGTCACAGCAACACACAAGCCTCCACTGACGGATGGGTGGTGGCTGTTCAAGCTGCATTGGCTGAGAATTGAATCCAGGTCTCCCACATGGAAGTTAAGAGTTCTACCACTGAACCAGCACTGCCCCCGCATATCCTTAATAATGAAGAGAAATAGCTCTAGCTGATGTCATTTCAAGGCACGTTCCTGCTATAAGAAAACATAAGAATGTCCACTGTCCCTCAGTCCCTTCCTTCCCCCACCATTCATCCCCAAACCTTCAGAATCATGCTCTAGAAACTGGATTTATTGTGATTTCCAGTATTGTCTCTGCTGTACAGTCTGCGTATTTTACACGCAATGTAGGGATAGTATGAAGTGCTGGGCTATAGACAGCTAAGGATGCACTCCAGATACAGGGTTCACATTGCACCATCTAGTCAAGGTACACAAGTCTTAACTGTGACAAAGCCTGCACATTTGCTTTTATTAATGAGCACACGATGATGCCACCTTGCCTGTATATGGTACTCATTTTACATGTAGGTACAGTGAGGGTCCTAGACATGAAGAAGACATGGTCAGTAATGGATAGATGTAAGAGGGGCATGCAAGTAAGCACAGTAGTGACAACGATTACATTTGCGGAGTGTGGCAGCTGTTGCCTGTTTGCTCTCAGATTCATTTCCTGCTTAACCTATGTTATGTATGCAGAAAACTATATTCCCAGGGTCCTTTGCCCTCTGGCTTCAAGGTAGTGAGTCTCTTCGGTTAACTTTAACTCCTGCCAGACAGACCATCTCTCCATAGTCTGAGCAGCATCAGTATGCTCTGGATCTCTGTAGAAGGCTCTGGCTTCTGGGCTCTGGCAACATTGCCTCCTTTCATTTTCACTCTAGCTCAAGGGGTAGTAGCAGCTTTCTGGCTGCTAAACCTCTAGTTTCCTTTACCACCCCTGCTTGGTTTCTGAGCCTTCCTATCACATGAGTAACCAAGTCCTTTCATTAAATTCTCTCTGCAGGAGCTAATTCCTTTTTTTCCTGACTTGACTTTGATTGATACACCAAGTGATTATTATGTGTTAAACTTGATATGCTTTGTCTTATTTAATCTTTCCACAATTATATGAGTTAGAAGGTATTATCCCCATTCAACAGATGAGAAAACTGAAATATAGAAGTTAAATGACATGCTCAAGGTTATGCAGCAATTAGAATACAGAGTAGAGTGCCTAGGTAGTCTGACTCAAGTTGGAGCTCTTGACCCCTGTGCTATAATGAGACTGCCTTCCAATGGAAAATGCACTAGGGAGTTCAAAGAAAAGTCCACCAGTAACTCCCCTGCTGAGGATCTAACCATGTGGATCTCAATTGGTGGACAATGCACAGATGGCCATCGATGAAAGGCAGGAAATGGCATGGGTTTGCTTTAGACCAGTGGTTCCCAAAATGTGATCCTCAGACTAGCAGCATCAGCTTCACTTGGAAACTTGTTAGAAAGGCAAATTCTCAGGCCCCACCCCTGACTTGCTAACTCTGTGAGTAGGGCCCAGCAATCTGTTTGAACAAGCTCTCTGAGTGATTTTAATGCACACTAAAGTTCGAGAATCAGATCACCTGATTGTTGAAACAGGACTTCTAGTATTTTAATGAAACCCACTGCCATTTATGAGTGATACAAATACAGTCTATGGAGGAAAAGTACTGGGTGAGTTTGCAGCTTAAGAAACTGACTGGTCTTAAAAAAAAAAAAAAAAGAAGTAATTACCATTGGAAAATCAACGTAGAATAGAAGATGGGGCATCAATGTCCAATCTGATTCTAAGGTTTGTAGAGTTGTTCTGTGCCCAACAGGCACAGCTGTCCCATTAGTAAGTAGTTGTGGCTATTTAAGCGTGAAATAAAAATATTATATATATATTTCTTTTTTTTAAAAAAAAAAAGACTACACTTTCCTCATTGAAATGTCTCAATAACCTCGTTGAAAATCAATTGACGATAAACGTTTGTTTCTGAACTCTCAGTTACATTCCATTGATCTGTATGTCTAGTCTCATGCCAGTGCAACAGTCTTGATAACTGTAGTTTTGTAATAAATTTTGAAATTCGAAAAAAAAAAGTGGTCTTATCTCTGCTTTTAAACAACTGTAAGAACTTGGCCAACTCAGTTCACCTGTCTAGGCCTCCAACTCCTTATCTGTGAAATAAGGGTATGGACCTCGATGGTCTCCAGGACCCCTGCTAGCACGTATGCTGTGACTTCGTGTACCAAATGAGACTACTCAATCTCCCATTTCTCCGTTTACATTTTTGCCACAATTACAACCCACAACATGACTGGTGACTGCAGACCACTTTGCAATTAATTGAATACTGGCCCTTAGTATTGATAACAGTCAGTGATAACATTAGCAGAATTGGGGTCCACTTATCTTGCAGATGTCTTAAAGCTACACTTGAGGTGAATCAAAATTGGCAGCCAAGTTCTTGACAATGCGGAGGGGAGTGTGTTTGCAAGTGATACATTGCCCATCTCCCTAAAGCACAAGGCACCGAGAGAGCCCAGCCTGCCAAATCCTTTGGGGAATGGGAGGGAGGAGGGGTGGAGGTAAGTACAATCTCTTAAGACCTAATACGGTGTCAGCCCAATAAAAAAACTTTTTTTTCCAAACTTCCCCTTAAATTCTGTCTAAAAATAAGAATCCTGTTGCAATATCTTAAGTGTAAATAGATACAATTGATTGTTCACTATCCAAACTTCAGATAGTCTTCTCAAAAGATAGCACTTTGTAATCTCCAGCTTGGTATTGATGTCATAAATCAGCTCAACAGAAAACTGCTGAGACGCTTTTGGAAAAAAAAAAAGAAAGGATAAATGAGTAACCACCAACATGCTTATCTGCATTTTGCTTTCCAGAAGGAAATTTAGAAATTCCCTTCCCTCTGTAGCACTCCATTACAGCAGTCTGAAGCATGACCTCAGGCTTAACTTGTTGTTAAAAGAAAAAATAATCTGAAGCTATACCTGGCCTGACACATGCAAAGGTTTGGCCTATAATACTAGCCATCTACCAACTACTACCAGCCATCACTCTAAGGACAAAATTGCGGGATAGCTTCATTCATCTCCAGGACTGCTCATTAGAATTATCGTTTTGACTGGAAAATATAACATACATTGTATGACTAACCCAATGGCACCAATTTATTTATGCGCAGCTCTCATTTTAGAGCTCAATGATTTATAGTCCAAGCCCTTACAAAGCAAAAAATATGGATATATAGTGTTGCTATGAGTCAGAATCGACTCGACGGCAATGGGTTTTATAGAGAGACCCTGTGCCACATGGTTTGGGACTTTAAATTGTTTTTGACAGTAGTTATTTGTTTCTTTGGATCTTTACAGATGAACCATCTGATGATAGCTTATCAATTCATTCAACAAAGCTTTATTGAGCACCTGCTATGTGCTGGACACCACTTCCCTCTGGAGATACAATGATAAAGAAGACAGGAAAAGACCCACAGTCTGCTGGCGAAGGTAAACCCTTAAACAACTGCCATCCAGTATGATAAGGGGAATAGCAGAGAGGAACGAAGAGTCCCTGGTGGTACAAATGGTTAATGCACTTGGCTGCTAACCAAAAGGTTAGAGAGTTGAGTCCACCCAGAGGCACCTCAGAAGAAAGGCTTGGCTATCTACTGCTGAAAAATCAGCCATTGAAAACTCTATGGAGCACAACTCTGACACACATGAGGTTGATTTTTTTTTTCTTAAGAGAAGACTGAACAATAAACTTCAAGAGACCACAGGAGAAAGAGTTAGGCAAGGCCTCAGAGATGACACTTTAAAATGTTACCTATTCTAGAAAAAAGGTCTGGTGGTTGCTCTTCTCCAGCCTTCATGGGAGCTCATGCTCTTAAGGCTATGCCATTGGATCCCTTAATAGCATCACTTTGCAGGTAAATTGTTTGGTTTTCCAAGTATTGTTATAGGCATTATCTCCATTTTAAGTTCTCCTCCAGAATTGAATGTTCCCATCTGTGGTTTCTGTCCTGCAGGTGGTTCAGACAGCTGGCAACACACCGCTCAGCTCTAGGTAGGCCACTGTCCTCCCTGTCCATGGACAGATGCCGGGGCCTCACTTGACTCATTGCCTTGGCACGTTGGATGTGAGCTGCATGTAGTTGCATCTGTTCTTTTCATTCTAGATTAGGAATTCTCAACCCTGGCTGCAATTAAGAATCACCTGGGTGGGAAACTTAAAAAATTATGGATCAAGGCTTCGAACTGGTTCCATCCAGTTAGAACCCCTGCTGTGAATTTGCATTTCTAACAAGCTCCCCGCTGAGAATTTGCATTTCCACCCCAGATATA